ATGGTAATGTTATTTTAAAAATTTTGAGGAACCGCCTTACTGTGTTCCACAGCAGCTATACCATATTACACTTCCACCAACTGCAGAAAGTTTCCAGTTTCTCTACATTCTCACCAAAACTTGTTAACTTTTCCTTACTTGATAGTAGCTATCCTAATAGGTGTGAAGTGGTATCAACTTTTCTAGAAAAAGATCATGCCAATTACTGCCTTGTGTATCAGTGTTCAGGACCATGCTGGCACAGAGCAGACATTCAAAATTTGTTGCATGATGCTTTTGTATCCTCACCTGAATTGTAAATATTCAGAGCAGGAACCATTGCTTGCCCCCACAGTATTAGGTCCTTACTAAATATTAAGTAATGCTGGGGTACATACTCTTCCCAGCTTCCACATGATACAAATGAACATAGGGACAAGACCATTACCCAAACTGCTATAGAAGCATATAAGGTAGTTTTATTTGAGGTATGATTTTTTTTTCCTGTTTATAACTGCAATTGAGAATTCAGACTATAAAAAAACATACAAAAGACAAATCTTTCAAAATCTGAGATACAGGGGCGCCTGGGTGGCTCTGTGGGTTAAGCCTTTGCCTTTAGCTCAGGTCATGATCTCAGGGTCCTGGGATTGAGCCCCACATCAGGCTCTTTGCTCAGCAGGGAGCCTGCTTCCTCCTGTCTCTGCCTGCCTCTCTGCCTACTTGGGATCTCTGTCAAATAAAATCTTTTTAAAAAATCTGAGATACTGTTTATTCTGTTTTGAAATGTAGTTCCTGCTATTATAGATAATGCTATTCAATCATATTTGCATTTATTTTTACATAATTTTGGAAGATTATATGTGCTATTTTGTAGCCTTTTTTATTTTTTAAAGATTTTTTTTTTTTTTTTTGAGAGAGAGTGGGGAGGGTCAGAGGGAGAGAATCTTCAGGCAAACTCTGCTGAGCATACAGCCTGATGTGGGGCTGTGTCGCAATCCAAATTGGATCTCACAACCCATGAGATCATGATCCCAGCAAAAACCAAGAGTTGGATGCTCAACTGACTGAGCCACCCAGGTGTTCCTTGCAGCTTAGGAAAAAACCCAAAAACCTATCAAGGGATATACATTTTTTTTTTAAGATTTTATTTATTTGAGAGCGCATGAACTGAGGAAGAGAAGTAGAAAAAGCAGACTCCCCACTGAGCAGGGAGCCCTATGTGGGACTGGATCCCAAGGACCCTGGAATCATGACCTGAGCCACCCAGGCAACCGGGATATATATATATAGCTTTTTAATAACTAATGTTTTATTCTGTTACACCATAATTAATCTGACCAATTCCGTATTGATAGGCTATTTGTTTTGGGTTTTTTTTTTAAAGATTAAAAATAGCATCCCAGCTATTTGTTTCTATGAAAGCCTTACACGTCCCTACATCAAATTCCTAGACATGGACTGCTGGAGTCAGAAGATCTGCCCATTTTACATTTTGATAAAAAGTCTGCAGGAGGGGCACCTGGGTGGCTCAGTGGGTTAAGCCTCTTCCTTTGGCTCAGGTCATGATCTCAGGGTCCTGGAATCAAGCCCCGCATCGGGCTCTCTGCTCAGCTGGAAGCCTGCTTCCCCCCTCTCTCTGCCTGCCTCTCTGCCTACTTGTGATCTCTGTCTGTCAAATAAATAAATAAAATATTTAAAAAAAAAAAAAGTCTGCAGGAATGGGGTACCTGCCTGGCTCAGTTGGTAGAGCATGGGACTCCTAATCTTAGGGTCCTGAGTTCAAGGCCCACATTGGGCAAGGATCCTACTTAAAAGATTAAAAAGTCTGCAAGAAGTTGGTACTTTAGACTGGAAGCTCATTCACAACCATCCTGGGCCTTCAATACTAACCTCTCTCTTCTGATTCCTACTTCAACTTCCATCTCAAGTTAGGATTCATTTTGCTAACTGAACCAAACAAGGATTTTTTTTTTTATATTTTATTTATTTATTTGACAGAGATCACAAGTAGACAGAGAGGCAGGTAGAGAGACAGAGAGAGGGGAGCAGGCTCCCTGCTGAGCAGAGAGCCCGATGCGGGACTCGATCCCAGGACCCTGAGATCATGACCTGAGCCGAAGGCAGCAGCTTAACCCACTGAGCCACCCAGGCGCCCCCAAACAAGGATTTTTGGAGTGTCTTTAAACTGGATCTCTAATGGTCTTATTGAAGTGTTTGTCCTCTGCTCTAACAGCACTTTCCGTTCACAGACCATCACCACCACCACTGTCCAGATATAGCATGAACATTATGAACTCCATTTTGCAAATGAGCAGAGGCTTCTTGGAAGGAAGGATAGCCAGAGGATACCAAGGAAGTACTCTGGGGCCCATCAAGCTTTCTCAACCGCAATGGTGATCTCTGTGAGCTGGGAATGGCATTTGAACTATATACCAATTTTTTTTTCTTTAAGTTCTGTCCCTTAGGTGGAGCTCGAACTCACAACCCCAAGACCAGGAGTTGCATGTTCTACCAATTGAGCCCTTCAGGCATCATAGAAATTGGGATCTTAACCCCTTTGAGAAAATCAATGCAAGCCTTTGAATGGTTCAGATGAAAACAAACCAGGGGCGCTCCTGGGTTGCTCAGTTAAGTGTCTGTCTGCCTTTGGCTCAGGTCATGATCCCAAGGTCCTGGGCTCGAGCCCCGAATTTGGCTTTCTGCTCAGCAGGGAGTCTGCTTCTCCCTCTTCCCCTGCTCCTGCTCTCTCTCACATACTCTAACAAATAAATAAAATCTTAAAAAAAAATACAAAAACAAAACAAAACAGGAATGGGGCGCCTGGGTGGCTCTGTCAGTTGGGCATCTGACTCTTGGTTTTGGCTCAGGTCCTGATCTCATGGGTCATGGGATCAACTCTGAGTTGGGCTCCACACTCAGTAGGGAATCTGCTTGAAGATTCTCTTCCTCTGCCCTTACCCCACACTTGTGCATGCTCTCTAATAAATAAGTCTCAAAAACAAACACCAGAATTTATCAAAGATTTTTTTCAATGTAATCAAGTAGTTTCCTAAGTCTTAAATTTTACACTTTTTTTATGATTAGTTTCTGGGTCAACTACAGATAATATGAACACCCATTTTGATTTTGTTTTCCTCTCTCCTCCTGTTTATGCCTTTTCCAGCCTCAAGTTGATAGTTAATCTTTCAGGTTCCTTGGATGAATCATACTCTGCAGACCTGTAAAACAGCACCATCTCCTTCCTCCCAGAGCTTTTGCTCAGCAAGCAACAAAGCCAAACCCTTCCTCCCAGTTTAGGCTACAGATCTGAAAATGTGGCCAAAGAGGTTCACTCAGGGGCTATGGCAGAACAAATGTGTTCTCACTTCTTTGGGCCTTTGGAAAACCGAACTAAAGCAGATTTTTTTTTTTTTTAAAAGCAGACTTTCAGTGAATGAAATGGATCTAAAGATGAGTAGCCCTCTTCTGGATTCCTTCCCATGGAGAGAACCACTTTCCTTAGTTTTAGTAGATACTTAAAGCATGTTGTTTTTTTAAAGTAAGCTCTACATCCAGTGTGGGGCTTGAACTCACGACCCCAGGATCAAGAGTTGCAAGCTCTACCAATTGACCCAGCCAGGTGCCCCTTATGTGCTTTTTTTTTTTTTAAAAGATTTTATTTATTTATTTGACAGAGAGAGATCACAAGTAGACAAAGAGGCAGGCAGAGAGGGAGAGAGGGAAGCAGGCTCCCTACTGAGCAGAGAGCCTGATGTGGGACTGGATCCCAAGACCCTGAGATCATGACCTGAGCTGAAGGCAGTGGCTTAACCCACTGAGCTACCCAGGTGCCCCCTTATGTGCTTTTTAATATTCAATTTTACCAGAGTAAAAAGGTAAATCTCACTCCCACATTTTCCTTCCCCAAAGGCAAGAAATGACTTTTTGTGTGTCCTCTTTCAAATATAGTGTATGTATACTCAAACATCCAAACCTTCTTACACACAGTATACACCATACTTTGATTATTATCAGTAAAATACATATATTGAGTCTTGCCAATGATGACTGCAAGGATTAAAGTAATGTATGGGGGGCAATGCATTCAGGATCATGAACTAGGAAGCTCTTGGACCCTGCAGTCCCACCCTTCTATACTATCTCTGGACAGGATATTTCTTTCCTTACCCACAAAGAAGCTTCCATAGGCTGCCTGGGAACCAAATATTCATAATTTGTGACTGTGTGTACAGATCTAGCTTCAGAAAATGTGTGTCTGAACGTGTCGGAATGCAGGTAGCGTATAGATCGTAACCTGTGAATGTCTTATTGTTTCCCTATTATGTGTCTGTGCCAGGGTCTCTGGATGTCACTGGGTGCGTGTCACTGTTAGTTTGACACTATATACCATGTTTGTGTGTGTGTGTGTGTGTGTGTGTGTGTGTGTAAATGCGCTGTCCTTATCCAGATGTTCCTGTTTGGTGTTAAAGTATTTTAGATACCGTTGCGATCCGTATTCTTCAACCCCCAGCTCCCTCACTCACTACATGCCAACATTCTTTCTTTTTCTTTCTTTTTCTTCCTTCCTTCCTTCCTTTCTTTCTTTCCTTCTCTCTCTGAGAGAGAGATCACAAGTAGGCAGGGAGGCAGGCAGAGAGAGAGATAGAGGAGGAAGCGGGTTCTCCGCCGAGCAGAGAGCCCGATGCGGGACTCGATCCCAGGACCCTGAGATCATGACCTGAGCTGAAGGCAGAGGCTTAACCCACTGAGCCACCCAGGCGCCCTACATGCCAACATTCTTGAAGGATGGGCGGGTGTCGGGGCACAAGCTCGCCCAACACCAGTCTCCCACAGAGAACGCAGCAGGACTTCCAGTATACCCCGCATCCGCCAGTCCTGCAGGAGAAGCCGTTGCGCACGCACAGCGTGCAACCTGGGATACGAAGAAAACCTTGGGGTCGCGCGTTCTCTCGCGCGCTCTCTAGTGGCCTCAGAGGGCAGCGCTGCCAGAACGAGGGGGCGGAGCCGCCGACGGCGGAAGTGAAGTCACTTCCGGGCTGGGGTGTTTGTTTGGACTGGAGAAGGGAGGCGGCGGGTGAAGCGCGCGTCGAGCGGGGGAGCGGCGCTGCCTGTGGAGATCCGCGGAGGCCGACCGGATTCGTTGGCTGCCGTCCCCGCTGCCGTGCACTGGGTGAGGGGTTCCCTCGGGCAGAGCGGCCAGAAGGGTGCGGCGACCCCAGCGGTCGAGGGACAGCACCTCGGCAACGGTTGAGGGGCCTGGAGGGTCCCCCGGGTTGTTGGCCACCAAGCCTCATATGGCTTCCTTTATTCCTTGCACCTTTAGTCGCGTCGAGGGATGAGCTGGGACCGACTTAGACTCTTTCTTTCTTTGAGAAATGGCCGTTGCTTTTTTTCTCATTGTCATTATTATTTATGATTTGGATCTCGCAGCACTTTATCCGGGTCTTCGGTGGCGCGCGAGGGTTGCCGGGATAGCACTTTCTCGTGCCCCCTCCACCCCCTTTCTTCACCTCCTCCCTGGTACCCTTTTCCCCTGCCCCCCCCCCCCGCCGCTTCGGCAACAAAGCTCATTGTTTCTCCCCAGTTTACGCCTGCGCGTCGCCACGCGCAGCTCCTAGTTGCTGCGCTTGCGCGCTGCTCCCGAAGCTTGGGTGGGGGAAGAGAAAGGGGCAGAGGGACTGGCGGGCCGGCGAGCCGTCCTAGGGGAGCATTATGCGACCGTCCACGGGCCAGTACCTTTCTCATCGATTTTCTTCCGTTTCTTCACCTTCACTTACTCCTTATTTTAGTTATATTGTTTCCTATGCTCAGGATGGGGGGGCCGGACTCCTGCTCCGGGAGGGTTGTGAGCCAGATAACTTTAAGGGCCCATCCAGTTCGTATTCTTGGATTCTGCTTCTCTTAATTTCCCTTCCACTATGTGCTTACTCCCCACTACCCCCAAAATTACGTGGCTTGTGGTGAACTTTGTTTTTTCAAAATATTTGTTGAAGCAGCCAGCAGTTTGATTTTCTGGTGACTCAGAAAGGGACCTTTTCTGCTTCTTTTGTTGTCTTGCTTTCCCTAATTTTGCAGCCCCGTCACCTCACTGAAACCTCAAACTCTAGAAGAAATTTGACTTCTAATTTGCCGTGGGAAAAAAGTCTTAACAGCTGACAGCTTTTGACATTTATTTCAACAGAAGACAAATTGCCGTTTTCGTGTGCTGGCTAATGTAGTCTCGTGGCATGATTTTTCACAAATTGCAGTTGAGCGGGTGTTGGTCTGCATTTTCTTCAAAATAGCCTTTGAAATTTCAACGGCTGCAGGTTATGTTTGGAAATAAGAAAAGGGTCTATGGATTTTTTTAAAAAATATTTTATTTATTTATTTGAAAGAGAGACAGTGAGAGAAAGCATGAGCGAGAAGAAGGTCAGAGGGAGAAGCAGACACCCATGGAGCTGGGAGCCCGATGTGGGACTGGATCCCGGGACTCCAGGATTATGACCCGAGCGGAAGGCAGTTGCCCAATCAACTGAGCCACCCAGGCGCCCCTGGATTTTTTTTTTTTAAGATTTTATTTATTTATTTAATAGATAGAGATCACAAGTAGGCAGAGAGGCAGGCAGAGAGAGAGAGAGAGGAGGAAGCAGGCTCCCTGCTGAGCAGACAGCCCGATGTGGGGCTCGATCCCAGGACCCCGGGGTCATGACCCAAGCCGAAGGCAGAGGCTTTAACCCACTGAGACACTCGGTGGGCCCTTGGGTCTATGGATTTTTAATGTGATTCCTGGTGTTGGTTTGTACTTCTGATTCCAGTATGTGAAAGGATATTTGGAGCAAATTAGCTTGTTTATGCTACTTGTTAATTGTGAATTTGTACAAAACTTAATCTTTTCTCACGAAAAAGTGTCTACGACAAATAAAGATAGGTGACTTTCCAAAAATGACAGCCTATTTATCTCTTTCTTTAAGGGATGGGTGTTAGGCAATGGAAACTCCCTGTGATGGTTAAAGGCTTGAGAGCTGGGAGGATTTTATTATAATATATTGCATGTTGCTGTTAAGGAGCTCCAATTGAGGTAGATGATCTCTAACCTCTTAAGAACAGAGCAAGTTTATAGTAGGCTTTTCCTTAAGTAAGCACGGTACACCTTACTCATGTTTACCCCTTTATAACTCTAGAGAGTAATGCTCCAGTTTCAATAGAAAATGTAAACATAAAAATCTGTTAGCATAGCAATTTCATGGACATTGTGAGCATTGAAAGAAAGTAGAAAATAAGGACTGAGCCTCCTTCCTTTTGTGCTCTTATATGTTCTTGTAATTTACAACCTTATTCATTATAACCTATGGAATAGGCAGAGGAAGTTTTATCTTGCCCATTTTGAAATTGAGGAAATAGAGTTTGAAAAATTATTTTATTAGGCACATATTTCTATAGCACTTAGTAATGCCAGTCATTGTTCTAAGTGCTTTTACAGGTATTTAATCTTCACCTTCTTTCGGTGGTAAGTAGTATTGTAAAATAGAGATAACAGGTAATAGGTATGAATTAACTTGTCCACTGTTAACACAGCTGGTAAGAACTGGAATTCAGACCCAAGTAGTCTAGAGATTATGTGCTCTTAACCATTTTACTGTGCTGCTTGTGGTTTAGTGACATAACTCAGGATCCTCTAGGTGGTTTGTGGCGTATCATAGATTCGGACCCAGTCCAAGACAAAAGTTATCCAAGTGATCCCTTTGCGATCCGGACCACCCTGTTGCATTAGTAATTTGCATTTAATATAGCCTGAGGTTCAGTTATAGTAACAGTCATTTTTCCTTTTTTTCGTTCTAAATTTCCTTAATGTTTAGAGTAGTGTTGTCCCAGTTAGATAACTGCTAATGGCACATATGTCCATTGAGCGCTTGAAATGTGGCAGTTGCAACTGAAGAACTAAATTTTTTATTTTACTCAATTCTAATTGGTTTAGATTTAAGTAGCCATATGTAGCTATTGGCCACATATTGAATAGTGCGGGTTCAGAGGTTTGAATTGCTTCTGCTTTTTTTTTTTTTAACTTTTATTTTTGCGTTTTTACATTTATTGATTCTTTGTGTTTTTGGGGGTGGTTGACTTTTTTTTTGAGAGAGCAGGGTGTGGAGGGTGTCAGTCAAGAGGAGGGGCAAAGGGAAGGGGAAAGAGAATTTTTTTTTTAAAGATTTTATTTATTCATTTGAGAGAAAGAGAGAGAACAAGAAGAGGAGAAGCAGACTTCGCTGAGTAGGGACCCCAACTCGGGGCTTGATTCCAGGACCCTGGGATCATGACCTGAGCAGAAAGCAGACACTTAACCATCTGAGCCATCCAGGCGCCTTGGGAAAGGAGTATCTTAAGCAGGCTCCACACCCAACTGCAGAGCCCAGGTAGGGCTGGCTCTCATGACCCTGAGATCATGACTTGAACCAAAATCAAAGAGTCAGATGCTTAACCAACTGAGCTATCCAGCCCCATCTGCTTATATTTTATATCAGTTTTTATAAATAAGGATAGTATTTCTGATGTGCTTTGAACTTTTATCAGCAGTGATGATAGGCAGTGCTTGAGCCATCCTTACTCTCACCAGATCACCTTCATTACACTAGTTGAGATTAGGATTAAAGTCCTCATTCTGTGTTGTTGTTTCACTTTTACAGGTTTTTTAACATGTGATTTTTTTTTTTTTTTTACCTTATACCTTGCTCCAGCAACCTTTAATTGCTCTAAATGTTTAATAAGCACCAAAATAGGTAATAGTGTCGTGTGCCAGGCTCTGTACCTAGATACTATTATTATTTTCCACTTGATAGGGAATCTGAGACAGAGAGGGGTTAAAACTTGCCTTTGAGTTCCAGAGCCCCTGCTTTTATTTATTTTTTTTATTTATTTTTTAAAGATTTTATTTATTTATTTGACAGAGATCATAAGTAGGCAGAGAAGCAGGCAGAGAGATAGGAGGAAGCAGGCTCCCCGCTGAGCAGAGAGCCCAGTGCGGGGCTCGATCCCAGGACCTGGGATCATGACCCGAGCTGAAAGCAGAGGCTTTAACCCACTGAGCCACCCAGGCGCCCCAGAGCCCCTGCTTTTAATCATTAATGTATACTGCCAAACATTAAAACAGAAAATTCAGTACTGCTTACAAATTTAAATGGAAAACAAGCTTAAGCAGAAGTTTCTTTATACTCTCTAACTTCTGGAGAGACAACTAATTATGATAATAATGTGTATGCAAATAATGTTAAGGAGTAACAGTAGTTTAAAATAGAGTACATGGGATAAGAAAAGGTGTGGAATCAGCTTAAGGAAAAAGAACTGTATTTGATTTTTTTTTTTTTTTTAAGATTTTATTTATTTGAGAGTGAGAGAGAACGAGCAGGAGGAGGGGCAGAGGGAGAGGGACAAGCAGACTCCCTGCTGAGTGTTGAGCCTGAATCAGGGCTTGATCCCAGGACCCTGAGATCATGACCTGAGCCAAAACTAAGAGTTGGGCCCTTAACTGACTGAACCACCCAGGCGCACCCCTCTGTTTGAATTTTAATGAAAATTCTTAAGAGATGAAACTGAGAAAGTTTCTAAAACTTCATGATTAAAAAAAAAACCAAATGATATCCATATTTTAAAATTTTATAGAAACCATTATGTGGAAGAGGCATTTTGGAAGAAAAGAAACAGCTGAATATGTGAGCTTGTGGATTGAAAGCGCTAGACAGCATTAATAGGGAAAAAAAAACTGCTCTCACCTAATAGAATCTGATGAAATTTCTGAGTTTTAGTGTTAGGCTCTCATATTAGACTCCCAGTTGAACAGGATCTTTACAAAAGAAAGAATAAAACAGTGAAAGCTGGAATATTTGCATAAAATAGAAAAGACAGTTGTAAATCTGCCCCATTTAATAATTTTATTCAAATATGAAAGCAAAAGATACTTTCAGACCTGTAGTAGCTGAAAAATAAGTATCTTCAGGTGCCTGGGTGGCTCAGTTGGTTAAGCAGCTGCCTTTGGCTCAGGTCCATGGGGAGTCTGCTTCTCCCTCTGACCTTCTCCCCTCTCATGCTCTCTCTCACTGTTTCTCTCTCAAATAAATAAATAAAATCTTTAAAAAAAAAAAAAGAAAAGAAAAAATATCTTCGGGAAACACCCCCCCTTTTTTTAGATTTTATTTCTTT